TGGCTTTTTTTTTTTTTTTTTTTTTTTTTGCATTGTTTGCCAAGGTTTCAAGTTTATACTGAGAGGCGAGGCAGCGTTGATCTTGGCAGAACAGTGCAAAGCCAGTACAGTCATTAAGTGACGTAAGCTTTTAAGACTTTTTTTTCTTTCTGTTAAAGCTCTCCGGTACAGCTGGCTATTCTAGTCCCAGAAGAAAAGAGAAGAGACTTTCTGAAGGTCTGGTTGAGAGGGTAGAAGAAATTTGGGGCATATTTAAAACCACAGCAAAGAATATCAACACAAATCCCGCAGATATTCCAGACAAACTTCTTGGCATTGTGGATCTTTTCGGTTGTTGAGAACTTGGTATTTGCTACAGAGAATGATGAGACAGGCACCAAGAGGGCAAGAAGGGCTTACGCTGGAGTCCTGCCTCTCCTGCCACTTGGAAAACTCTTTAGTCACCAAGAAGGAATATAAACAAGACTGAAGAGCATGTCTCTCCCTGGTCCTGTGTACTGGTAGAGCTGAGGATTCCCTCTGTTTTCACCAGGACTTTTTGGAAGGCAGTTCCAGAAACATAGAAGGAAGCAGTGCTTCAGGACTTATCTGCATATGTCCTGTGCCATGTTACATTTTGAACACTGAAGTCAGGGAAGGACAGCTTCATCATCTGGATCTAAGAGAATACCTGAATCCTTTGAGCTTACATACATGATATTTGGAAGGTTATAAACTTACAGTCATTCATTATAAACTTACTAAATTCTGGATTCTTTTGAGGACTTCAGCAAACAAAAATTCCCTGCCAAAAAGATATAAAAGGCTCCTTTTGTGCTTTTGGACTAATGTGAACAATAATGTCTTGGAAAAGAAGTTATTTTTCAGGGGGCCGTGGTACTGTCCAAGGGATGTTTGCACCTCGAAGCTCAACTTCCATAGCCCCTAGCAAAGGCCTCAGCAATGAGCCAGGGCAAAACAGCTGCTTTCTCAACAGTGCTCTGCAGGTAAGGGTAATTTTTTTTTTTTTTTTTCTTTTTGACAAGCTTTGACTTTTAGTTGATGATGCTGTATTTGTGAAAACATTTTAAAATGTAATACTTGCTTGGCATGGTGGCACACGCTTTTAATCCCAGCACTTGGGAGGCAGAGGCAGGCAGATCTCTGTGAGTTCAAGGCCAGCCTAGTCTACTTAGTGAGCCCCAGGTCAGCTGGGGCTACAGGGAGACTGTCTCCTCTCCTCCCTTCTGAGTTCCCTGTATTGGCTCATGATTAGAGTCTGGTTAGATAAGTGTGTATACAGCTAGTGGAATGTCACTTCCCTGTGTTGAGGTGGTTATCTACCCTGCTTCCCCTTTGCTCTTGCATACAGCCTTATGGTTGTATAGTCATAGAGCTTCCCATCTTCCTGTCTGAGCTGCCCAGATTATCACTTTCACCTCCCTTGGCCTAGCTTTCAAGTAATTATGTTCCCCTCTTTTCTGCTGTTAGAGTTAAAGTCGATGAAGTTTGTTGACCAAGATAATTATACTTGGGTAAAACGTTAGCTTGACTTTTCAGATGCAATGAGAACATGGGTTAGTATGAGAGAAGTGACAGGATGAAGTACTTGATACAAAATGGACTGGGAATTAGAAATCCTGAATTCTAGTTTTGGCCCTTTTATAAACTAGTCTGCGACCTTGTATAGGTAATAGTGTCTGAGTTTCCTCATTCATAATACAAGAATCTTGCCAAGCTTATCTGTGTAATAAAAGTTTTATTTTCTTTCTCAGTTTTCAAGTTTTTATTTAAAAAAATATTTAAAAGTCTTATGTTGGCAGATCTATAGAAAGTGTTTAAATGCAAGTGCAAGAGCCTGGGTTTGGTCCTCAGCTTTGGGAAAAAAAAAAAGTTTTTAAATTCTTTCCCTTATTACTACCACAAATTTCATGCAGTGAGATATGGTTGGTTAGATTTTTTCTTCTCACTGCTTTTGTTTTTATTTTGGGACAGGTCTCATATAGCCAAAGCTGACCTGAGACTCACTGGGTATATAGTCAAGGATGGCCATGAATTCCTGATCCTCCTTCCCAAGTGATGGAACGACAGGCTTGTGCCACAGCCTGACTTACTAGATTTTTTTAGTGACTTTATACAATGGTGATACTTTTGCTTGTTTTTTTTTTTGTTGTTTTTTTGGTTGTTTCTTTTGGTCTTTTTGAGACAGGGTCTCCCTATAGCCCCAGCTGTCCTGGAACTCACTATGTAGACCAGGCTGGCCTTGAACTCACAGAGATCCACCTGCCTCTGCCTCCTGAGTGCTGGGATTAAAGGTGTGCGCCACCACGCCCAGCAAGGTTTTGCTATGTAGTTCTGGCTGGCCTTGAACTTGCTGTGATCCTTTTGTCTCTGCCTCCCAGAGCTGAGATTGCAGGTGTGAGCCATCATATCCAGCCTAGTAATACTTTCTGTAATTTAGAAGCAGGCAGAATTTATATTGATGAGTATAAATATGTGTATTTACCTCCTTATCCATCCTTCGGCTTTTTTTTTTGGAGACATGGCTGTCCTGGAATTTGCTATAGTAGACCAGGCTAGCTTTGAACTCACAGAGATCTACCTGCCTCTGTCTAACAAGTGCTTGGGTTGAAAGACGTATGCCACCAGGCCCAGCTCATAGATGTGCTTTAGTAATTGTATTTCTTTCTATATGTTCTATTTATATTGTCAGTTAGAACAGTAGGGATGTGCTTCTGTAATTGTATTTCTTTCTATATGTTCTATTTATATTGTCAATTAGAACAGTAGGAGCTGGAGGGATGGCTCAGCAGTTAAGAACACTGACTATTCTTGCAGAAGACCTGGGTTCGAATCCCAGCACTCACATGGCAGCTAACAGCTGTCTGTAACTCCAGTTCCAGGGGATCTGATACCTTCTTCTGTCCTCCGAGGGCATTGCATGACACAGGTGCACTTACCTTACTGCAGGCATAACACTCATACACACAAAATAAAAATAATAAATTTTAAAAAACTTAAAAAAAAGAAAAACAATAATAATTCTGCATTCTGTTCTAATGTCCAGTAGCATATACAACACATTGAGTAAACACATTTGTAACTGTTTTTATGTTTATACCTAAAGATTGAGGCATTGATAGTTTTGAATACTCTAATATAATTCTGTAAACAGTTGAAAATTGCTAATTGTTAATATTCTTAGTAATTGTTAATATTCTGACTTTTGTTTTAAAATCTATATTCAAAAGTGTGGAACCTATTACATTTGTTATAAAAAGATGATATTTAGCGGGGTATGGCGGTACATGCCTTTAATCCCAGCACTCAGGAGGCAGGGGCAGGCAGATCTCTGTGAGTTTGAGGCCAGCCTGGTCTCCATAGTGAATCTAGGCCAGCTGGGGCTACAGGGAGACCCTGTCTCAAAAAGACCAAAAAAAAAAAAAAAAAAAAAAACCATATTTACTTGGTCTGTTGCTTGGTCTAATGTATTTGTTGTAGAAAGATGTTCTTGGGACTGGAGAGATGGCTCAGAGGTGAAGAGCTCTTGCTTCTCTTCCAGAGGACCCAAGTTTGTTTCCAGCAGTGATACTGGGCAGCTCACAGCTGTCTGTAATTTTAGCTCCAGGGTATCTGATGCCCTCTCTGGCCTCTTTGTGCAAATGCACACATACAGACATGTACACACATATATAGACACATACACATAAAAAATAAAAAGAAAGATGTTATTAATCATTTAAAATAAATTTTTAGCTGGGCATGGTGGCGCACACCTTTAATCTCAGCACTTGGGAGGCAGAGGCAGGTGGATCCCTGAGTTCAAGGCTAGCCTGGTCTACATAGTGACGTCTAGGCCAGCTGGGGCTATAGGGAGACCCTTTCTCAAAAAGACAAAAAAAAAGAAGAAACTTTTAGAATGTGTGTCTTGAGAATTGTCTTTTTTAATGTGTGTGTGGTGTGCATGTGTGCACACATGTATGTAATATATGTATTAATGTTCTTGTGTGGGGGTGTATCTGGAGGCTGGAGGCTAGAGGCTGATGTCAGATACCTTCCTTGATCATTCTCTATCTTATTTTATACATTGAGGCAAGGTCTTTCTTTTTTTTTTAAATTATTTATTATTTTTATTTATTTATTTTATTTTTTATATATGTGTGCCACCACGCCCAGCTTATTATTTTTATTTTATGTGTAAGAGTGTATTGCCTGTATGTGAGTGCACCTGTGTTGTGCAATGGCTTTGGATTCCCCTGGAACTGGAGTTAAGGGTGGTTTGTAGCCGCCATGTGGGTGCTGGGAATCGAACCTGGGTCCTCTGCAAGAGCAGTCAGTGCTATTAACTGCTGAGCCATCTCTCCAGCCCCCCCTTTTTTTTTTGACAGCGTCTCCCTAAAGTCCCAGCTGGCCTGGTACTTGCTATATCTACCTATATCAACTAGGCTGGCCTCAATCAACCTCCCTCTCCCTCCCCAGTGCTGAGATTGAAGATGTGTGTCACCACGCCAGATTAATTCTGTTTTTACACCATTATGATTTAGGTGTTTTATTGATTCAAATTCATGTCTTTTCCAGAATATGTTCATTTGTCCTTGTTAGATACCATTCCTCTTTTTTTTTTTTTTTTTTTTTTTTTGGTCTTTTTGAGACAGGGCCTCCTTGTAGCCCCAGCTGTCCTGGAACTCATTATGTAGACCAGGCTGGCCTTGAACTCACAAAGATCCACCTGGCTCTTGCCTCCACAGTGCTGGGATCAAAGGCGTGGGCCACCACGCCTGGCTGATACCATTTCTTTTTGAGATTTATTTTACTATGCCAGAATGAGCTTTTGTCTTGGGAGAAAAGATTCTTTTTCCTGCAATTATTGCCTGTTTGCTTGAACTCTTAAATTGTGGCTACTTGTTGACTTATGAGATTTCCCTCTTTTGGAAGGTTTTGTGGCACTTGGACATATTCCGCCGCAGCTTTAGGCAGCTTACAACTCACAGGTGCATGGGAGATTCCTGTATCTTTTGTGCTCTTAAGGTGAGTTTTTCAAATTTATTTCTTTCCTATATCTCTAGGTTGTCAAATAACCCATATTGAATGGATTTGGTAAATTTGGGGACTTCTTAAGATCTTGTTACTGAGTTATCTGCCCATGATTTATAAGAAAAATATAATTATTTTCTTTGTGTCAAAGTATTATCTAGCTTAGTCTAGCTGAGATAGTCTTTTTATTCTGAAACTTTTTTTTGCCGAAAGCTGTACTTGGTGTGTTAGGATACAATTCAAGCGTGTGCCTACTATGTGTATTTACCTCAAAAGCTAGTTCTAAAGTTTCTTTTTGAAAGAACTTTCTTTTTTTTTTTTTTTGGTCTTTTTGAGACGGAGTTCCCCTATAGCCCCAGCTGTCCTGGAACTCACTATGTAGACCAGACTGGCCTTGAACTCACAGAGATCCACCTGCCTCTGCCTCCGAGTGCTGGGATTAAAGGCGTGTGCCACCATGCCCGGCCTAAACAACTTTAAAAAAACAACAAAACAAAACATTTTTACTGTGTCTGTATGATTGTATTGCTTGCCTGTATGTAAGTGCACCTGTATTGTACAGTGCCTGCAGAGGTCAGAAGAGGGCGCCAGATTCCCCTGGAACTGGAGTTACAGACTTGTTAGCTACCATGTGGTTGCTGGGAATTAGACTCAGGTCCTCTGCAAGAGCAGCCAGTACTTTTAACTGCAGAGTGTCTCTCCAGCCTCATGAACAACAGTTTTTCAATTTTTAAAAAAATTTTATTTATTTATTTTGTCTTTTTGAGACAGGGTCTCCCTGTAGCCCCAGCTGTCCTGGAACTCACTATGTAGCCCAGGCTGGCTTTGAACTCACAAAGATCCGCCTGCCTCTGCCTCCCAAGTTCTGGGATTAAAGGCATGTGCTACCATGCCCGGCTTATTTTTTTATTTTTTAATTTTTTAAAAATTTATTTTATTTTATGTGTGAGTGTATTGCCTGCATGTAGAGGGTGTCAGATCCTCTGGAACTAGCATTATTGATGGTTGTTAGCCACCGTGTGGGTGCTGGGAATCGAACCTGGAACATCTGGAAGAACAGCAAGTGGTCTTAAAAAATTGAGCCATTATTCCAGCCCCAAACAACAACAGTTTTTTTAATGGAATTATTGTTTATTAAAAAACTTAAGTTTAGGCCAGGTGTGGTGGTGCATGCCTTTAGTCCCAGCACTTAGGAGGCAAAGGCAGGTGAATCTTTATCTACAATTTCTGATTACCATACCTTGAGTTCAAGGCCAGCCTGGTCTACATAGTGAGTTCAGGTCAGCTGGGACTACAGGGAGACCCTGTCTCAAAAAGACAAAAAAAACCCCCCAAAAAACCTTAAGTTTAAGCCAGGCATGGTGGTGCATGCCTGTAGTCCCAGCACTTGAGAGGCAGAGGCAGGTGGGTCTTTGTGAGTTCAAGACCAGCCTGGTCTACCATAGTGAGTTCCAGGACAGCTGGGGCTACAGATCTCAAAAAGACCAAAAGAAAAAAACAAAAAAAAAAACCCCTTAAGTTTAAAAAATGTACTGTTTCCTACTGTTTTCTATTAGATTCTTTTAAAAATTACATTGTGTTTGTTTTGTGTGAGAGTGTGTGCATATGTATATTCACACATGTGGAAGTCAGAGGTCAACTTTCAGGACTTAGCTTTCCTATCATGTGGAACCTGGAGATTGGACTGAGGTTGTCAGACTTCTAGGTAGATGGCTTACCTGCTGGTCCCCATCTTCATATCAGCTCTGTATGTCATTGTCTGGTTCTAAGTAATATTGCTGAGTAAAATAAAGCTACAGATTGATATAGACACTTAAACACACAAAAACAGAGAGAGTAGAGAGTGAGAGGTGATTCAGAAGTTGTAGATTTACTGCTAAAGAAAAAGAGCTGTATTGGTTCTTCTTTTACCTCCGTGTAGCTGTCCTGTGTGTTCTTGGTCCAGATATAGAATAGATTAGTTATGTTGGAAAAATCTATAGCATCCAGATGAGTTCTGAGTAAGCTTCCAGAGTAATTTTTCATCTCCTGAAGACTGAATACTTACTTTGTCAAGACTGCTTGGATATGCTCATTGTATGTGTAATGTAGTTGCCTGTATAGCTTAATGTAGAAAGTGTGAGCAGAAAAGTCTTGGATTTTTTAGTTATTTTGGGTTATTGGCAAGAATTGACAAAATTTTTTTTGAGGCAGGGTCTCATGTTGTCCAGGCCTGCCTTGAACTTACTGTGTAGCTGAGGATGACCTTGAACTGCTGATCTTCCTGCCCCTGCCCCCATAGTGCTGGGACTACAGGAGTGCACTACTATGCCCAGTTTTACATGATGCTTGGGTCAAACCCAAGGCTTTGCGGATGGTAGGGAAGCATTCTATCAACTGAGCTACATCCCCAGCCTTGACTCAAAAATTTTTTTACCAATACTGTTTTAGAGTCGTTTTGTTTGTTTGTTTGTTTACCTGGCAGCCTTTAATATGCTATGTAGACAGTCTGACTTTGAATTTGCTGTGATTCTTCTGCCTCTAATTGCCAAGTGTTGGACTTAGACGTGTATCTCCAAGCCCAGCTACCATGATAGGATCTTAGAAGGAGGTAAGTGAGCCTTCTGAGGACCTGAGTTCCATTCTTAGTACCCACGGGGTGGCTAACAACCATTAATAATTCCAGTTCCAGGGGATCTGATACCCTGTTCTGGCCTTCGTGGGCATTGCATGACATGGGTGCACTTACATTCAGGCAAAACTCTCAAACACATAAGAAAAATAAATAAATAAATAAATTAAAAAAAAATGAGCCCTCTGAACTTTCTGCTGTTTGAGTCACAAACCTCTTTTTTCTACTTTTTATTCCATTATGATCTGCAAAAAAAAAAAAAAAAAAAATCACACCTAACACTATGTACACAGTAATCATCAAAAGAAACCCAGTATGACTGATCAAACTTCTAGGTCCAACTGCTAATTTTTTTTTTTTTTTTTGGTCTTTTTTTTGTCTTTTTGAGACAGGATTTCCCTGTAGCTCCAGCTGTTCTGGAACTTACTATGTAGACCAGGCTGGCCTTGAACTCACAGAGATCTGTCTGCCTCTGCCTCCCAAGTACTGGGATTAAAGGCGTGCACCACCACACCCAGCGACTTTGCATTTTTAATTGTCCCAGGAGGGACTCTGGAGAACAAGTGCCATATGCTTGTCATATTTCATTTTTCAGAGTGACAAATTGTTATTTGAATATAAATTAGTATCTTATAGGTTAGAGAGAGGGAACTAGCCTTCAGACTTTATGGTACATACCCAGAGATAGTCAAGTACAGAAGGGAGAACCCTCAGAAAAGAAGCTGCTTATGATAGGCAGGGAAATACACTGAAGAAATCAAAGACTATGTTTTGGGACCTCATCATTCTGAGGATATGTTGGAATTTTAGTATTTTCCTCATTAGGTCACTGCTTAATCCAACTGAGAGATTTATTTTTCTTCCCTACATCTTATGTTGGGAGTGTGTTAAAGAATGAGTTTTCCCAATAGTACTTCTTAGTTTTTCAGTGATGTGTAAATATTAAATAATTGGCCTATACTTTGTATATACTTGATGTTTCAGTTGCCATTGATTCCATTCTTTTAGTTACTGTATACTAGACATAATAAGGTGGATTCATTTGAAATTGTAGATAAGCATAGTTTGGTTCTAAGAGTGGGGAAATTAAATCACTGGACAATCATTATTTTCAAGTGATAGTTCTTCACCCAAGTGGGAGGTTTTCATTTTTGAGAGAAGGTATGCCGAACATGTGAATGAGTAAATCTGGGAGGGACCATCAGCACCTCCAGCTTCAGTGGGATGTCACTTTTTGTTCCTCACTTTAGAAACTACAAAAAGAGTTCAATTCATCATTAAATTGGATTCTGATAAATGTAATAAGAAAACCAAAGGAAAGATTCAAAGAATAGGGAAGATAAAGCAGAGTTGTCATTATTTGCAAATATGCTGATTGTATACAAAATATTTTAGGATGGGATCTGCCCAGTGTTTGAATATTTGTCAGATATATCTGAAGCCCTGAGTTTGATCCCCAGTACCACCAATTTAAAAAAAAAAAAAAAAGTTGGGGCTGGAGCGATGGCTCAGATGGTTAAGAACACTAGTTGTTCTTGCAGAAGACCTGGGTTCGAATCCTAGCACCCACATAGCAGCTAACAACTGTCCATAATTCCAGTCCCAGTGGATCTAATAGCCTCTTCTGACCTCCATGGGCATTGTTTGACCTGGGTGCACTTACCTACATTTAGGCAATACACACATACACATAAAATTAAAATAATGAATAAGGGGCTGGAGAGATGGCTTAGCGGTTAAGAGCACTGTGATTGCTCTTGCAGAGGACCTGGGTTCAATTCCCAGCACCCACAAGGTGGCTACGAACCATCTTTAACTCCAGTTCCAGGGGAATCCGAAGCCCTCTTCTGACCTCTGTGGCTTTGCACAACATGGGCGCGCTCACATACATGCAGGCAATACACTCAATACACATAAAGTAAAAATAATAAAAATTTTTCAAAAAAGGTGAAATAAGAATAGTGGGCCTAGAAAGATGGCAGAGCAGTTAAGAGCAATGGTTGCTCTTGCAGAAAACCCTGGTTTAGTTTCTAGCACCCAACATGGTAGCTAACAACTCTCTGTAAGTCCAGTTCCAGGGGGATCTGATGCCCTCTTTTGACCTCCATGGGCATTGCATGATATGGGTGTGCTTACATACATGCAGGCGACACACTCATATACATCAAATACAAATTAAAAAAAAAATAGTAAAAAAAACCTGGGCAATGTAACATGCCACAGAGCTGAGGTGGGTGAATCGCTTGAGCCCATGAGTTGAAGAGCAGCCTAGGCAACATGGCAAGATCCCTTTCTCAAACAAATTGAAAATCAAGTGTCTTTATGAAATTTCATTGTAAATGGAATCATTCGGCTTAAAAGGGGTCTGTGTGAGACAGGTGTG